TCCAACCCAAATCCCAGAGATTCCAGAATTCCCTTGCACTGCCTTTTCCCACTGGGATACCCCAACAGCCCCACCACAAAGCACCACTTGGTTCCAGCACTTCCCGTTCCCATTCCCATTCCTGTTCCCATTCCAATCCCTGTTGTCATCCCCATTCCTCTTCCTGTCCCCATTCCGACCCCCATTCCCATTCCTGCTCATCCAGGTTTTCTACTGGAGCCACCTCTGCTACATCCCGGTGTGGCTCCTGCTCCTCCTGCACGGCCCYCACTTCTGGAAGTGGTTCCTCATTCCTGGATCCCTATTTTTCCTGGAGAAGGCGCTGGGCTGGGTGTGGCGCCGGGCGGGGGATCTGCGCATCCTGGAGGCCAACCTGCTTCCATCCAAGGTGGGCATCCCAAATCCCATCCATCCCAAATCCCATCCATCCCAAATCCCATCCATCCCAAATACCAAACATCCCAAATCCAAACATCCCAAATACCAAACATCCCACATCGCCTCCAACCCTGAGCCCATCCCACCTCCTCCTGGGACACTGGGAATGAAGGAACAAGCAAAAAGCTCCTTTATTTTCTTGCCTTTTTTTCCTATTTTTTTCAAGTGAAAACTCAGGGAACAACTGGAGCAGAAGGAAAACTCCTGGAACTTGGAATTTTTCCCCAAAATCCCGCASTTTGAGCCCAGCCTGAACTGGGATTTTGTGCAATCCCAACCAGGCAGCAAACAGGGAATAAACCCGATTTTCGGGCATGGAGCCTGGATTTTCCACTGTGGTTCCCGGATAGAGACTGGCGCTCATTATCCTTGGGGAATTCCCAGTTTTCCCGCTGCCCTTTTCCSGCAGGTGACACACCTGGTGATCCAGAGACCGGAATCCTTCCGCTTCCAGCCGGGAGATTAYGTCTACCTGAACATCCCGGCCATCGCCGCCTGCGAGTGGCACCCGTTCTCCATCAGCAGCGCTCCCGAGCAGCCAGGTCTGCCCCAGGATCCTGCCTTGGGAATGTTCTGCATCCCTGGGACCCCTTTCCCATCCCTAGGACCCTTTCCCATTCCTGGGATCCCTTTTCCTTCCCCAGGATCCATTTTCCATCCCCGGGATGATGTTTTTCCAGCTCGGACAGGGTTTGGAGCAATCTGAGATAGTGGAAGGTGGCCCTGCTCATGGGATGGGATGGGCTTTGAGTTCTTCCTGATCCCAACAATTCCAGGATTGGGGGCTTTATCCCACAGGAACACTCTGGCTGCACATCCGGGCTCTGGGCCAATGGACCACCAAGCTCCACGAGTACTTCCAGCGGCTGGAATTGCCTGGCCCAGAGCCGGAACCACCGGGGAAGAGCCGCAGCTGGGATCGGGTCAGTGGGATTGGGATCAGAGCAGAGAGATTGATCCCACTGAATGCTGAGCAGATCCCATGGGATCATCCCAATTTGCCGCTGGGGTGGCCGCCAGGGAATCCCTTGGGATGAACATTCCCTGCTTGTTCAGAAGGGTTTTGTGTCCCCTGAAATGGGATTGTGTTCCCTGGAATGGGATTTTGTCCTCCATGGATTGGGATTTTGTCCCCCATGGAATGGGATTTTGCACCCCACGTGTGGCTGTGACCCCAGGGGAGGGACAGTGGATCCCCAGGAGATTCCCAGTGGTGATTCCCAGCTTTGGTTTCCTAGGAAGGCTCCAAGGGGGGATCCGTGGCCACAGGCAGGGACGGAGCTGTGGAGTTGACGTCGTTCCGAGCCTCAGGAGCTGCTTCCCTGGAAAAGGACCTGGAGCAGGGAGTGAGCTCTTGTTCCCAATTCCAGAGGATAGGGATGGGGGTCACAGCCACAGGATCATCCAGAGAGATGATCCCAAATGGGATAAAGCTCCTTAAAAAGCTCCTTTTAAAGAAATTCCTTGGACATGATGGTGGGCAGCTGGAAGTGTATGCAGCCTGGTGGGAAGCCCCCCAGAATCCTGGGAATAGCAGGTTTGGGAAGGGTTGGGAATGCCACTGCTGCCCTCCCCTCACAGAGCCTGGCCGGGCTGGGGGAGACCCATCGGAGCTGCAGCATCAAGGTGAGAGTGTTCCCGCTTTTCCTTGGGAGCTGGGCTGGGATCAGCATTCCCAACTATCCCATCCATGTTCCTGACACTCCTTTCCCTGTGTCCCTGTTCATGGATGAATCCTTTGCTCCCAAAAAACCTCATAAAAGCTCCCAAATTCTGTGATCCCCTTTGTGCCCTTCTTCTCTGCCTGGGAGTCATTCCAGCACCTGGGTCTGGATCTGTCCCTGGGTCTGGATCTGTCCCTGGGTCTGGATCTCTCCTGGGTCTGGATCTGTCCCTGGGTCTGGATCTCTCCCAGTGCTACCTGGACGGTCCCTATGGAACTCCGAGCGGGCGGATCTTCACGTCGGAGCACGCGGTGCTGATCGGAGCTGGCATTGGGATCACGCCCTTCGCCTCCATCCTGCAGAGCATCATGTTCAGGTGGATCCTGCAGGGAGCTCGGGAATATCCCACAGAATATCCTAGGGAATATCCCTGACTGGATTTGGGATGCGTGCCTGGATAGACCGGTCCTCCGACGCCTCTTCCATAGGAATCTAACCAGGCATGGGAAGAAAAGAGAAGGAAAAGCAGGAAAGGGCAGGAAAGGACAGGAGGGAATAGGAAGAACCAGGAAGGAGGAAAAAGGAGCAGAAAGGGGGCAGGAAGGGGTAGGAAGAGAAAGGACGGGGCAGGAAGGAGCAGGAAAAGCAGAAAGGAGCAGGAAAAGCAGAAAGGAGCAGGAAAAAGTGGGAAGCACCAGGAAAAGCCAGAAGAGCAGCATTCCCTGTCCAGGTACCGCCGGAGGAAGCAGAGCTGCCCCAGCTGTGGCTTCTCCTGGAGCGAGGAACGGCGGGATGAGGGCATGACGCTCCGGAAGGTGGGAATGGGAACGGGAGGAGGAGGGGATGCGGGATCTGGGTTTGCTCTGGAATGGGACTGTAGGTCCAGGGCTTGGAGAGCCCAGGAGCGTCCCTGGGATCCAGGCAGTTTGGGAATGGAGGATTTGGAGATGAGATTTGGCCATGGGATTTGGTGGCGGGATCTGGGGATGGGATTTGGGAATGGGATTTGGTGGCAGATCTGGTGGTGAGATCGGGTGATGGATTTGGTGATGGGATCTGGTGATGGATTTGATGGGATCTGGTGATGGGATTTGATGGGATCTGGTGATGGGATTTGATGGGATCTGGTGATGGATCTGGTGGCTGCTCGAGCAGAGGTTCCGTGCCATTCCAGGTGGATTTCATCTGGATAACACGGGATCAACAGCACTTCCAGTGGTTCCTCAGCCTCCTGACCAAGCTGGAGACGGAGCAGGCGGAGCTGGAGCCGGGAGGTGAGCGGGAATTGTCCGGTGCCATGCCTGGGAAGAACCCCACCCCGATCCGGGAGGCCAGATGGGGGCCGGATCCCTGTCAGACCTGGGATTCCCGGGAATTGCAGGGAAGTTCCTGGAGCTGCACCTGTACATGACCTCGGCCCTGGGCAAGGGGGACATGAAGGCCCTGGGGCTGCAGGTGGCCCTGGATCTGCTGGCGGCCAAGGAAAACCGGGATTCCATCACCGGGCTCCGCACCCGCACCCAGCCCGGCCGCCCCGACTGGGCCAAGGTGAGGGCCGGAGTCACCGATCCAATCCCAAATCCTGCTTTTGGGATCCGCTGGGATTCCCAGGGAACTGGAATGCGTGTGGAGAGCCTGGGTTGGGCCAAAGCGGGAAGGGATCAGGGAATTATGGGAGGGGTTGAGTTGGAAGGGAATGGAAGGATCACTTCATCCCAGTGCTCTGATCTGGCCCAGGGATCATGGAATGGGATGAGAGAATCATGGAATGGGTCGGGTTGGAAGGGAATTGCACACCCCCGATCCCAAACCCCCAGATCTGAGCCCTTCCCATTGCAGGTGTTTGGGAATCTGGCGCAGGAGCAGCACGGGCAGGTCCGGGTGTTCTTCTGCGGCTCCGCGGGGCTGGCCAAGGAAATCCGGGAACACTGCCGGCACTTCGGATTCGGCTTCTCCCGGGAAAACTTCTGACCCCCAATATCCCCGACATTCCCACCGCATCCCGGCCTGGATCCGCTCTGTCCCGGCTGGGAGTGTGGGATAGGGTGGGGCCATGATCCTGGAACATCCGTGGCGGGATTTGGGATGGAGGAGATGGGGGTCCTGTGGCACCAAACTCCATGGATTTGGAATGAAGGGGATGAGGTCCTGGAGGGCTCTGGGATGGTGGGGATGGGTCCTGTGGCACCTTCCCGGGATTTGGGATGCTTTGGGATGATTTGGGATGCTTTGGGATCCCCCGGTGCCCACAGGAGGGTGCCGCCGCCCCGGGACCGCCCTTCCCTTCCCCTCTGCCATTTCCCCCTCCATCCCCAGATTCCCTGGGATCTGAGGAATAAATGAGGAAAAGATGGGAATGCTGGGGTTGATGTCGCTCATGGAAGCAATTCCAGCTCCTCGGCAAACCGAGGGAAATCCGGGAAGCAGTGCCTGCTCCCTCCAGCCCCGGAATCCGCGCTGGATTGGGGCTGGTTTTCCCGGTAAACCAACGGGAATGTGGGAATGAGGAGCCGTGGGGAGCCTGGATCCCGATCCCTCTGGTAATTCCTCCTTTTCCTGCCGGGTCCGTGCCCGGATCCCGCTCCGGCTGTATCGTAGCAACAGCTCCGGCTTGGCAACGCGCACAATTCCCGGGATTAGCGCTGGGTCGGGATTTACCCGCGTTCATCGCGCCGAGCGGGGGCTCTGCCGGGCTCATCCCGAGCTGTGGATTCACCTGGAGGGTTTTCAGGGACAGGGAGCGTTTGGAATCATGGAATGGTTTATGTCAGCAAAGCCTGGAGTCCAGGCATTCCCAGCACCATCCCCAAGGGCCACATCCACAGGGATTTGATTCCACAGGGATCTGGCTCCACAGGGATCTGGCTCCACAGGGATCTGACTCCACAGGGATTTGGCTCCACAGGGATCTGGCTCCACAGGGATCTGACTCCACAGGGATCTGAATCCACAGGGATTTGACTCCACAGGGATCTGACTCCTCAGGGATCTGACTCCACAGGGATCTGACTCCACAGGGATTTCAATCCCTGCCTGGCGCCGGTTCCAAGGTTGGATCTTTTCCCCTGGCGCAGCCGCTCCCCCCAGGGCCTCCCCCCCCGCAGCGGGAACACGGCGGCGGGAAACCGCCTTCCCTCCCGCCTCGGTTCCTTTCATTGATTAATTATTAATTAAAGCCCCACGGTAATTATTGGAATTAAAGCCGGCGGCGCCCGCGTCACGCGCGCGACCCACGTGACCGCCAGGTGGGCGGGGTCTGGCGCAGCCAATCAACGACGTTCTCCGCCCGGAAGCCCCGGCCCCTCAACGCGCGTTTCTGATTGGTCCCCGCCAGGCCGCGCCCGCGCGCGCCGCTCTCGCGGGAAGCCGGGGCGGGGCCGCCCCCCCCCGCGGGCGCGCCGGTGGTGAGGGGGCCGCGGTGAGGCGGCACCGGAGCTGCCGCGCGGGGGCGAGGCAAGAGCCGACAGCGGTTCGGCTGTCCCCGGTGTGCCCGGGGCGGTGGCGCCTTCTCCCCGCCCTGCCCTGCCCGGCGCCGTTGTGGCGGCGGCAACGCCGCGCCACGCGTTCCTATTGGTTGGCGCTCCCTGCGCGCACCGCCCCTCGCGCTCTCCCATTGGCTGCGGGGCGCGAGGGCGGGGCCCGGCGCGGTTCCTCCGTGCTCCCCCCGCCGCCCCGCGCGGGGGTTCCGCCGCCCGCCAGGCCCGGCCGCAGGTAGGGAGCGAGCCGGGAATGCCGGGATCCCCCGCGGGATGGGAATAACGGGAATAACGGGAATGGCAGCAGGAATGGGAACGGGAGCGACACCGGGCTGCAGGATCACCCGGAGCCGGCGGGGCTGGGCATGCTCGGGCCGCCCTGGGCTGGCTGACAGAGCCTGGGATGAGGGAATAGGGGCGGTGGGAATATGGGATTGGGAATACAGGAATATGGGCTGGAAGATGCAGGAAAAAGGGATACGGGCTGGGGGAATTTGGGCTACCCATATGGGACTGTGGGGTGCGAGAATAGGGCTGTGAAATGCAGGAACATGGACTGTGGAATTCAGGGATATGGGCTGAGGAATTCCGGCATATGGATTATGGAATTCGGGAGTACGGGCTATGGAATTCTGGGATACGGGCTGTGGAATTCAGGGTTACAGGCTGTGGTGCTGAGGAACACCCGGAGGAACCCCCTGCCTTCCTCCCCGTGGATTCCAGGCTGTGCGTCCTGCCTGGAAATCCTGGAATTCCGGGTGATCCAAACTCCAGCAGGAGGAAATTGGGGATCCTCGAGAGCCCCTAGAAAATCCCGGCCTGGGCAATTCCTGGGATTTCTGTGGCTGGATTACCTGGATAGGCTTGGAGTGCAATCATGGATTCATGGAATGCTTTGGGATGGAAGGGACCTGCAAGCTGATCCCATCCCATCCCCTTTCCATGGGCAGGGACAATTCCCATTAGCCCGGGAAAAGGCTGGAGCAGCTGGGAAGGAGCTCCATTTTGCAAGGAATTCTCGGTTTCGTAAAACCCTTTGGCTTTTCCTGGGATAATCCTGGAATTCTGGGATGCTTTGGCTTGGGAAGACCTTAAAGGGGATCTAATTCCCAAAAATTCTGGGATCCACGTTTGTGCTCTGGATGGGAGGAGCCTTGGGAAATCATATTCCATGGATATTTTTGGGTTTTTCCTGTTTGATTTTCTGATTTTTGGGAAGCAGAAGGATTTTCCTTGAGCACAGGTTGTTAAAAATTGGAAAATTGGGATCTTTTCCATTTGGGAATTCCAGCTCCTGCTCCAGGCTGGGTTTACCCATCCTGGTTAAAACATTCCTGGATTTTGGGCCGCAAATCCCAGCCAGAGGTAGAATTCTCTATTCCTGGGATCTGGGTTCTTCCACAGGCTGGCTTTGAATTTTTTTTTTTTTGGGGGGGGGGATTTTTTTTTTCTGGAAAAATGTGGATTTCCCTTGAATTTGGTGTGGAAAAGACTCCTCACTTTTTTGGGAAAGTAGCAGGAGCAGCCATGGTGGGAACTGGGAGCCAGAGGATTTGGGGATCAGGGAAAGGCAAGAATTCCGGCACTTCCAGCCTGGAAAGACCAGAATTCCCAGCGTGGGATTTTATGGATCTCCCTCTTCCTTTTCACCTGGAAAAATCCTTCTGGATGTGCCTGGCCTTGGAAAAAAATCCCATTTCTGATCCCAAAATTCTTCCCTGGGATGCTGATCCCAAATCCCTTCTCCTGGGCTGGAATTCCAGCTGCTCCAGTGGGAATTCCATCCCTTCAGGAGAATGGGAATAACTCAGGAATGTTTGGATCCCTTTGGAGATTTTTTTGCACTCCTCTCTGTGCAAATTCCAGCTGTAAATTCCAGACCCTCTGGAGCACCTGGGATGGGCAGCTTCCTGCTGGAGGAAACCTTGGGAGCTCATGGATTAACTGAAATTGAGCCTGGAATTTGCCTTTGGATCCAATGTTTGGAATTCCTGGAGTATTCAGGGCCCAAATCCCATTTTTCCCGGTGCAGGGAGGTGCTGGCAGAGCCATTCCAGGTGGATTTTTCCCTTGGATCCCTTTTCCTGCATTCCCACTCCTCCAGGCCCATCCCAGCTTTCCAAGGAAATTGGAATTCTCAGGAATTAGGGAATGGGGGGGGGAGGATTAATGGGGGAAAATTCCCATGGGATTCTCTTGGGAGCTCATGGAAAACTTGGGAAGCTCCTGGAGCAGGGATTGGAAGCGGCAGCTTTTCCATGAAATCCCAGCTGTGCCCACCTTCCATCGGCTCAGGAGAATCTGGAATTTGGATCCGGATCCCAGCAAAGCAGGTCAGGGATTTTTAAGTTTCCCGAGGAATTAAAAATTCCTGGATTTCCTACTGGAGCAGTGGTTCCCAAAGAAAATTCCCTGCAGGAGCCAGGAACGGTCGGGAAAAGCTTCGCGGATCCGGAGCTTTTCCTTTTTCTGGGAGCGGCTTTGGAAGAGCAGATTTTTCTTTCAGTGTGCCTCTTCCAAAGCCTCTGGCACCAGGGAATTTGTTTCCAAACACGGAATCTTGGAGCTGCTTCCAGGCCTGGCTTCCAGTGGGAGCAGCTCCTCGGGAATGTTCACATGGAAGCTTCCCGGGAATCCGGCTTTTAAAGGAACAGTTCTGCTCCTGGCAACGGGAAAAGGGAAAAATTTGGGAAAACTTCTCCTTGGATGCCTTTGGATCAGACATGGAACGCTGGGGGAAAGGGAGGGAATTCCTGGAGTTCCTGGGAAGGGATGGGATGGGAAGAGGGAGCTGCTGGAGAATTCCAGAGGGAGCTGCTGCAGAGGCCTGGAGCCAGGCTGGGAATGCCAGGAATGTTCACCTGGAGCAGGGAAGGATCCAGGGATAGGCAGCACTTCAATTCCAACGGGGATGTTGGCAAATTCCCAGCAGGGAATTCCAAATTTCCTTGTCAGCTTCTCCAAGAAAATTCCATTTCCTTGGCAAGCACAGCACCAGATCCCTGGATTTGCTTCCATGTTTTCCCCGATTCCAGCGGCTGCTGTGAGTGACAGCTGGGCACATTCCCTGGAACAGATTCTCCAATGGAAAAGCTCCTCAGGCCCTGGGATCAGGCTGTCAATTCCCAGTTTTTTTTGCTGTCAGAGCAAATCCATCCCTGGGACTCTCAGAGTGGAAGGGCTCCTCCAGCCCATCCCGGGATTCCAGGATTCCATGATCCATAGGAACTGCACTTTGCTGAGGCTGGAGTTGAGCCCGGAATTTGCCTTTGAATCCAATGTTTGGAATT